ATTATTCTTTAAAATATGTATGTGAAGCGTCACTACTTGTTAAAGGTTTTAACAATAAATATTCATGGAGTGTAACTAGAAAAAAGCGTTTTAACATTATATTTTCCAGGAGTGTCAATAAGGGTTTTAGAATTACATTTTCATGGAATGTCAATAAGAAAGCAGTTTAACATTCTACCTTCATAGAAAGTCAATAAGAAAGCAGTTTAACATTCTACCTTCATAGAAAGTCAATAAGAAAGCGGTTTAACATTCTACCTTCATAGAAAGTCAATAAGAAAGCAGTTTAACATTCTACCTTCATAGAAAGTCAATAAGAAAGCAGTTTAACATTCTACCTTCATAGAAAGTCAATAAGAAAGGAGGTTTTAACATTCTATCTTCGTAAAGTGTCACTGGAAAGTATTTTAACATTCTATCATCATAGTCACTAAAAAGGGTTTTTTAACATTCTTTATTCATAGTCACTAAAATGGGAGTTTTAACATTCTATCTTCATAGTCACTAAAAAGTGTTTTAACATTCTATCTTAGTAAAGTGTTTTAACATTCTATCTTCGTAAAGTGTCACTGAAAGTGTTTTAACATTCTATCTTCGTAAAGTGTCACTGAAAGTGTTTTAACATTCTATCTTCGTAGAGTGTCACTGAAGGATTTTAACATTCTATCTTCGTAAAGTGTCACTAAAGGATTTTAACATTCTATCTTCGTAAAGTGTCACTAAAGGGTTTTAACATTCTATCTTCGTAGAGTGTCACTGAAGGATTTTAACATTCTTTCTTAGTAAAGTGTCACTGAAAGTGTTTTAACATTCTATCTTCGTAAAGTGTCACTGAAAGTGTTTTCACATTCTATCTTCGTAAAGTGTCACTGAAAGTGTTTTAACATTCTATCTTCGTAAAGTGTCACTGAAAGTGTTTTAACATACTATCTTCGTAAAGTGTCACTGAAAGTGTTTTAACATTCTATCTTCGTAAAGTGTCACTAAAGGGTTTTAACATTCTTTCTTCGTAAAGTTTCACTGAAAGTGTTTTAACATTCTATCTTCGTAAAGTGTCACTAAAGGGTTTTAACATTCTTTCTTCGTAAAGTGTCACTAAAGGGTTTTAACATTCTATCTTCGTAAAGTGTCACTAAAGGGTTTTAACATTCTATCCTCAGTATCATCACCGAATATAAATCGATAATTTTCTATATTTTTACTTGAAAATGATTTTTTTTTGTTATTCTTTGTAGAATTTAGAGTTAAACTACTCGAAGGCTAGCTGCGCTAGCCATCCCTAATTTTGAAATAACAGAAGAAAGACAGACAACATCACAAACCGCCGACGTTTTGGCTATCCCAACAGTAGGGTTTGACAGTCACTCTTATAACGTACTCATGTCTCCAAGTACGGAGTGCTATTTTTTCAGTTGTAACGGGGCGCGAATTGTGGAACCTCGGACCCATAGTCCAGCATGCTGACCACTAGGCTGCGTGTTTTATTCCGCACATATTAATAAACAAGGTTTTCAGAAATGTTTATATGGTGTTTAGGATTAATCTAATACGGATGTAATTCTAGGTAACAGCATGGACCCAAAATAGGGGTTTGTAGTTTGAGTAACTAATGTCTACAGTATCTCCAGCCTTGTTTCTTTACGTTTTTACGACCCCTATAGGCAGGTTTTTAAATTCCCAATTTTGTATTTATCTTTTTTACAAAAGACACGTGACTTGCGACGGAAAATAAGTAGACACTGTGATTAAATTTACAAATCATCCAAACTAATGTTGTCTGCTATGTGTAGCAATGTGTATGAGTGCGCGATAAAATAGCGTTACGTGTCCCAGTTAATTACGTCAAAGTGTGTTTCATTAACCCTGACTGTTTCTTCATAACATTATATAGATAAGTAATAAAGTACAGGACCAATCCAGATAACAAGTTTGTACCTGTGCTGTCTGGAATTTTACTTTAAGAAATACTGAGATGAGTAAACTTTCTGGTGAACTTGTTCGTGAATACAAGTCCATATAGAATTTGGTTCACGTTCGATCACAACGAGATAAACCTGGAAATACAAATAAGTGATTTATACCAGTTACTGATCTGTTTTTATTGTGTGAATTATTCACAGTGTTAAAACTAAGGTTATCATTTTCATGAGTGACGTTTGTTCTGTTTGTAAATGGAAAAATATTACGGCTGAAGATGTCTACTATTCAGTGCAATCTGTATCACCTAACGTTACCATAACAACATGTAATTAATTTAATTCATTTGTAATATATATATATATATATATCTTTTTATCCATGAAAACATTACTCGCATTTTTTATGATTCTGTCTTATACATCATTCACTCTATTTAAATTATTACAGTAAGATGTATTCTGATATGTTTCGTTCTTTCGTTTTATTGTACTAAAATTTAAATTTTACTTGTAACAGCTTTCAACAGCTCGTGTTATTATTCTAAAGTTAAGTTGTATTTGTAGTAGGTTTCAACTATTCGTGTTATTATTCTAAAGTTAAGTTGTATTTGTAACAAGTTTCAACAGCTCGTGCTATGATACTAAAGTTAAGTTGTATTTGTAACAGGTTTCAACTATTCGTGTTATTATGCTAAAGTTAAATTGTATTTATAACAAGTTTCAACTATTCATGTTATTATGCTAAAGTTAAGTTGTATTTGTAGCAAGTTTCAACTATTCGTGTTATTATGCTAAAGTTAAGTTGTATTTGTAATAGGTTTCAACTATTCGTGTTATTATGCTAAAGTTAAGTTGTATTTGTAACAGCTTTCAACTATTCATGGTATTATGCTAAAGTTAAATTGTATTTGTAGCAAGTTTCAACTATTCGTGTTATTATGCTAAAGTTAAGTTGTATTTGTAACAGGTTTCAACTATTCATGTTATTATGCTAAAGTTAAATTGTATTTGTAGCAAGTTTCAACTATTCGTGTTATTATGCTAAAGTTAAGTTGTATTTGTAACAGGTTTCAACTATTCATGTTATTATGCTAAAGTTAAATTGGATTTGTAATAAGTTTCAACTATTCGTGTTATTATGCTAAAGTTAAGTTGTATTTGTAACAGGTTTCAACTATTCATGTTATTATGCTAAAGTTAAATTGGATTTGTAATAGGTTTCAACTATTCGTGTTATTATGCTAAAGTTAAGTTGTATTTGTAACAGGTTTCAACTATTCATGTTATTATGCTAAAGTTAAATTGTATTTGTAACAAGTTTCAACTATTCATGTTATTATGCTAAAGTTAAGTTGTATTTGTAACAGGTTTCAACTATTCATGTTATTATGCTAAAGTTAATTGTATTTGTAACAAGTTTCAACTATTCATGTTATTATGCTAAAGTTAAAGTTGTATTTGTAACAAGTTTCAACTATTCATGTTATTATGCTAAAGTTAAGTTGTATTTGTAACAGGTTTCAACTATTCGTGTTATTTGCTAAAGTTAACTTGTATTTGTAATAGGTTTCAATTATTCATGTTATTAAGTTACAGTTAAGTTGTATTTGTAACAGGTTTCAACTATTCATGCTATTATGCTAAAGTTAAGCTGTAGTTTTAACAGTTTCAATCAGGCTAAATTTCAAGCTTTACTGCTGACAATTTCAAATTTTCGTGTTATTATATTAAAAGGTAAACTGTATTAGTGACAGGTTTACTATGTTCGTGATATTGCATTAATCGTTAAGTTGTACCTGTGAAAGGTGCGTAAACATTACCCTAAAAAATTGAAACTTTATTTAAAAATACTAAAAATGTTTCTCTTTTGTACGCTGGACACGGATTCAAAAACATTTAAAATAATCATAACTGGTGCTTTTATTTTACACAAAACTTGTCTTGTATCTCATTCTTCCATACAAATCAATAAAAACTATGGCATTTTGATATTTGACTTTTAAACTAATCGTACACACATTAATATTACATTCACACGTGTTGATGCGTAAATTTTGCTTGAATGATGTGTTCACAAAGTCTGAAATCGTCACAACTTGCTATAAAAACTACCGAAACCGGATTTCTTTCAGCTTTTTTTTTTTTTTTCGTGAGTTGTAACCCTTTGAAGACGTATTTCTACTTCTGCCCTTGCACCAACAGTCGTCTGTTCACCTTGGACAAGTTGTCTTTCATCCTGGGAAGAAAGTTGCTAATTTTTTCATTTTTTATGACAGAAAAAATGAACATTGGTCAATACGCTCCGTCAAACCAGCACCATTTTATTACACACTCGAACGTCATTGGTTTTCTAAGCACAAATGGTAGTTTATACCAACTTTCTCCATGACCAGAAACACGAATACCTACTGTTATATATAGCCCTGTTTGAAGACATACGTTAATGTACAGTTAAGTTTTATTGTAAGTTCTAGGTCTGATTATAACGCCTGATGTGCTTTATATTCATGAAAGAATCAACATTTGGTCCACTATTATTTTTAGATATCATTATTTTGTAAATTGGTTCACCTAATGCTTACAGAATATGAATGTTTTTATGAGTCACCAAACAATGTCTTTATAAAATTAAGCTTGTACCAGAAAAGAAAAACAACAACAAAAAACGTGGATATTCTGTTAATGTGGCAACAAGATGAAATACTATAATTCTAAAAAAAAAAAACTGCGTATAAACCTACATCAAGTTACAGACGCAAATTTCGTATTTATTTTATTACCGACTCACTGAGCTCTGTGGCAATACGTACTGGCGGAATATGATCTGCACGCATGCGTGTATGAAAAAACATTTTGGAAACCAGAATTTTTCCCAGACACATTTCTAGTAACACATATCTACTTGGGTACATCGATAATGTAGTCCTTGACTAGTACAAGCTAAACTGGTTCATTCTCAAAATATCAAAAAATTATCAAGGATTTGGATCTTTTCTCAGAAATAGGATGGAAAGGCCTTGCCTTCTCGAGAACCAATCAGAAGCAAGATTATTGGCACACCCATAATGACGTTAGGAATGTAAACGTACCGGTCATGTGCTTGTAACACTGCTTTTAAGAGCAAGTTTCACCAGTCTTACTCATAATTATCTGCGAATATCGGTTGTCCAAGTAATCGAAATTGTGAATCCAAAATGTTGACTGAAAAGAAAAAAGCGGTAAGTCTTGAGTTTTGTTTTACTAGTGTGTTTACGTTAAGTACTTTCACGTATGTTTCTATTGGCTCTCTAGGTTTGTTCGCCAGCTCTGCTTGTACGTGATGAATTTTTAGAGAACTTAATCGAAATTTTGCTTCTCTATCTAAATTTTTAAACACATTATACCGGAGAGCGCTTCTCTCGTATTGTAAAATTTCAGTGCGTATATTCTATAAGCTCTGGAGCTTATTTTAATAGATTATTATAGAGTAATTAACTGGTATCATTTAATGGCTAAGTAAAAATCGAAACAAGAAGCTAATACTTTAGTAAATATAATTTAGTTGTGAAGGTATCAGATCGAACGGCAGAAAAGGTGGAGACGTGGCTGATCGTATTCGAGCCACAGAATACAGACACACTTGTCTGGAGTCATAATTCGTTCATTATTGTTTCACGTACTGAGAAGCGCTTATTTCCGTGTGTCATCGCACAAATCTGACCTATCAGCGAACAGTAGAATTGGAACAAATTTATACGTTACATAGTTTGTATCTTTTACAAAATTCCAATTTTTAATATAATTTCAAGATTTCTGTGTTAAGAAACAACATTACATAGTTTGTTAAGAAACAAGTAAAATAGTATACATTATTGTCATTCCTTAAGTTTGAGCTTATTTTAATCAATAACTAAATCCTTGGCCGTATATTAGATAGATCATAATAACCTTTCTTCATATTTGTAATCAAGTTTGACTTATCTTTTGCCAAATATCAGTCGTATTCTATTCCATGATTTCACTTACTGTAAATTGTTATAGTAAACCATGACTAATATTTTACATAAAGTTCGGACTGTTGTACGAGAGCCAATTTATCATAGAATGGTCATTTTACGTTTCTTTCTGATGTTGAATTTGGAAAAGCAAGTTCGCGATTTATTTTCCTACTTGCGTTTTCTATTGTGAAGCACGTGGCAATTATAAATATTCTAAAAACTCTGGAAGCTTTTATTTAGCACGATTAGCCAGTTTTTGTAGCTCTTGGAATGAAAGAGTTTATTACGTCATCATTCTTGACCTGGCTTTTTGCCAGGAACTCGCCTCCATAGTCAACCAATCGCCACACTGAACAGTCCAACAAAAAACAAAAACTAATTGATATGTCCTTCTATAGAAATAATTAGAGACTTGGAAGGTTTTTCTGTTACTTCTTTTTTCTACATAACTTTAACATCTTAGGTTACCTTAGACTACTTGATATGTCCTTCTATAGAAATAATTAGGGACTTGGAAGGTTTTTCTGTTACTTCTTTTTTCTACATAACTTTAACATCTTAGGTTACCTTAGACTACTTGATATGTCCTTCTATAGAAATAATTAGGGACTTGGAAATAATCTTTCAGTATATGTTTGTTTCTTTTTTCTCTTATGATACACCAGTGAATGTCTGAGGTCACCTTTAAGTTCTATTCCTTTCCTTTATAATACATTAATGTTTGAGGTCACCTTCAGATTCTATTTTTCCTCCCTACAATAATGTTAATCTTTCAGGTCACCTTCGTGTCCTATTTTCTCCCTGTACTATAACGTTAATATTTAAGTTCAATGAGTGTGTAAAGTGAATAATGAAGTAATTAGATATTGGAGTTTTAAAATAGTGCAGATAAAAGTATTAGCACGTAAATCACGAAATGTTTATTTTAAAACATGCATAGATTTGGCTTCTTGAGTACTACGTTATATTCGCGATGTCCAGCTGGTTAGGTCTACGACGCGCCATGTTATCTCGAAACCCAAATGCTACACTAGACGAACTTCCGCGAAGGCGTCTGGTTTTCTAGGGTACAAAGGAAAAATCTTGTTAGCCTTCGTCTTCCCCTCTGTTATCTCTCTACTTAGCTACATTTTAAGATTCTGAAAATACTAATGCAAATTGACATCCAAAAAACCATCCAATAGACATGGTCAAAATTCTGGGCGACCCTTGACATTAAATCTAACAGTCCAAACGTGTGAACTAAAACTTACACAGATTTCTAATTCACTTTGCTTACTTAACGAGCCCCACCAGTGGCACAGCGGCATGTCTACGGACTTACAACACTAGAAACCGAGTTTCGATATCCGTGGTGGGACAAACAACTGTTACAATGAACTTCCAGCAGCTCGAGATTTGGCTCTCCACATGTTGAAATATTGTATGGGTACAAATGTTCAATTACAACACGTGTTATTTTACCCGACAATCTGTTATTTTTTCTGGGTCTTAATAATGAAATATTTTCATGGCAAAGTTCACCGGAAATGTGAGGTAAAAATCTTTTATTCGAAGTCTTCTTGATGTATTTGTAACATCTTAAAGTAAATACTATTTTCATCAGTATCTTTGACGTAATCCATGACGACGACGAAGCGTAGGTGGATAGATCCTTTTGACGTAGTTTTTTCTCTACGTGCTACCAAACACGTGCATGGATGGCTATTTTTAGAAACACCGATCGATGTGGGTTCTTCTCTGTTTATAAACAACAGATACAAGTAAATAAAGGTTTCCTCTTCTTAATCTCTGTGGTCAACATTCTTATTAGTAATATTAATTAAAATGAAGTACTAATAAGTAAATCAATTCTATTAAGAAGAATTCTTGGCAGAAATTAATATTGATCACTTGACGAAAAATTCGTTTTCCTCCAAATGAAACCACTGAGTTCACATTCCATCCAGGTGTTCTTTTGTCATTGTTGTTATTTCTGAGTACACTTTTAGTGTTTTTAAGTATGTAGTTTACTGGTGCTGTAGATTAAATAACTCGTTTTCACACCTGTAGTTACACCTAATTTGGTCCCTTCACTCGCGCAGTAAGGTTTCTAAAGGTGTGGATTTCTTCTTTAGGGAGAACAACTACGATTATCGTAAACCTTTCTGTCACAATAATTTGTAAAGAAAAACGTTTGTTTCTGTTCACGAGTGTGTTGCGTATTCAATATTTACGCGAATACTGTGTGTATTATTGATAAACGTTAGTCGCAGAAAGTTGCACGTTTGTTTCAAGGATTTCTGATCTTATATGAAGAGTATCACATTAAGTTTCAATACTTTGTGACTGAGCCCGTAGTATATTGTATTTGAATATATTTTAACGATTTGGTTTATAGTGGTATCACCAAGCTTTTCAGGTTGCTAAGGGCTGAAAGTAAATTTTGGTCATAATCAGGGAATTCTAAAAGATGACCAAATATCGTGAATGACAAGCTGTGTAAATTAGAAGTTGTGTTTTTTTTTTCGTTAATAGATCAACGGAACCTTTCCGTTCCGCACACTGGCGTTGTTTGTTATGGTATTTATTGGTCAGGGACGCTTGTTATTAAAAACAAGCTTTTACCGTTCTATAATCATGAGTAACAGTTGTTCCTTACCTGCTCTCAGTTACATTTGCTTCATGTTATATGTTGAATAGCCAACATTTCAATGTGTAATATGAAACAGCGGCGTAGAAAGCAGGGGGGGGGGGGGATTTTCAACCTGTCCCAGTAAAAATGCACCACAATTAGGAAAATCAATGTTAACTGATGTATCTAGGTGTATAAGGTATATTCACTTTGGCATTTAATTAAAAAGAAGGACATATCGTCTGAAGTATTGTAATTGATAATCCTAACTAGTTGTCTCTCGCACGTGGTCCTGGATCTGATTATTTATAGTTGTTTTGGTTTGAACTTTCTCTGAGAAATGTTGCAGTTGTAACTAGCATTTTTAGATTTGTTAAACAACTTATTATATATATTATCGATAAAAGTTCTGATTGTTTCTAATTAACGCACAATCTGTTCTACCACAATAATTCCTTTACTTGTATTGTTTTTATCTTAAAGGCATTAAAAATCAAATATATTTTTCTGTTTGGTTAGATTGAAGCCCTCACACGTGGCCTCGTTCTGACAAATGATCAGCTTGAGAAAGTGTCTTCTCTCCTTCTTCATGAATTTAATTGTGGCTTGGCAAAGGAAACACATCAGAAGGCATCTGTTAAGATGTATCCAACCTTCGTTCAAGACGTTCCAAACGGTTTAGGTATTTATATTATTGTTGCTTTTATTTGCATTGGTAAAGTAATATCAAAAATGTTCTACCAAAATATAGTATTTAAATGTTTAAAAAAAATTCTTTTATATTTGTTAATTTCATTTTTGACAGAGTGTGAGTCCTGACACGTATAGAGCTCTCGTAATGCGTGTTTTAGCCAATTAGGCTTCCTCTTCTCTCCGAAAAGCTGGAGAGGTGTGTCGTAAAATTCAGAGGAAATGTTGCGTCATATGTGACGTTCAAAGAATCACGCGCAGTATTGCATCATCATTATACAATGGTCTAGTTAGTGCACCACCATTTAATGGTAGCTATAATCGTTTTTTAACTTAGTTACCACATAAAGTGACATGTTTCTTTTCACTTTACATGTATTGCACAACATAAATAAACAATGCATTTAATGTCTTAAGAATGAAGCATAGATACACTGTATGAAAAGGCTTAGTTCCAAAGAATCAGATTGCGCTCTTAACAAATAATGATCTGCTAGTGGTTTTTCTTTTGTATCCTGGTTCCTTTTTTAGTGATTTTAACTTGGTATAAAATAAGTTATCCTGGTTCCTTTTTAGTGATTTTAACTTGGTATAAAATAAGTTATCCTGGTCCCTTTTTAGTGATTTAACTTGGTATAAAATAAGTTATCCTGGTCCCTTTTTAGTGATTTTAACTTGGTATAAAATAAGTTATCCTGGTCCCTTTTTAGTGATTTTAACTTGGTATAAAATAAGTTATCCTGGTTCCTTTTTAGTGATTTTAACTTGGTATCAAATAAGTTATCCTGGTTCCTTTTTTAGTGATTTTAACTTGGTATCAAATAAGTTATTTTGTATGTCCGTATATGTGTGTGTGTAATTTGTCATAAGAAGTGTTTTGATGTTGAGTTTTAGTGCATGTATGTGAAATCAAGAAGATTATATAAAATTATAACACCAGTTTTTCATACTACAAATCTGTAATTATATAATGTCTCTATTTAGAACAAGGCAAGTTTCTAGCTTTGGATCTTGGTGGAACTAACTTCCGTGTGTTGTTGATTGACATTGAGGGAGACAAGTTCCATATGGACAATGTTATTTACCCTATTCCACAGAGAATTATGCTGGGCACTGGTAAACAGGTGAGATTTTGTTTTCATTTGCTATTGATATTTGTTTTTCGACAGTATGTTCCCTCTACAAGGGCTACATTCTAAATATTCTAGATAACAATATACTCCGGTGAATTTCTAACTTTTGAAAATTACATAAATGGGTTATTTGAATTCAAAATTTGTGACAAGTGTTAATCTTTAATTACAAAAAACTGAAAGGTTTCTGCCCGTTCCAGCTACAAAGCTAGATACATCCATACTTTAGTTTTTATTCCTGTCTTGGCTATGTTTTAGTCGACTAGTGTTGTGTACGAGTAATACGGGTTGGTTGATTTTACGTATGTCTTTCTTCATCCTACGCGCGTGAACAGTTATTTGAACTCATTATTCATTTTCACTTTGCAGCTGTTTGATCACATTGCCGACTGTCTGGCTAACTTCATGGAGAAAGAGGCGGTGAAAGGGAAGACACTTCCTCTGGGATTTACGTTCAGTTTCCCCTGTAAGCAAGAAGGCTTAACTAAAGCTCGGCTGGTCACGTGGACTAAAGGATTTAGATGTGCTGGTGTAGAAGGCGAGGATGTTGTCCAACTCCTGCGAGAAGCACTTCTAAGAAAGGTAATTTAATTCTGAGACAAAATCAAAATGAAACCAATTTGTTCACTTCCTTTATTTGTAAGGGAAGTGAACAAATTTGTTTCATAAACTAGTTTAACACCATTTAATTTTCCGTATTAAATAACATAAAACTGACATTTGGTCTATACAAAGTAACTTGTCTTAGCTGTGTTTTAGTAGACTAGTATTTTGTAAAATAGCCACATTTCAATTATTATACATTATATATGCATATAGAGTATTGCTATTTTGAAATAAGTTCTAATTAACTTTAACTACCATTCACTAAAACTGGGCCCCCCAGTGGCATAGCGGTATGTCTGCGGACTTGCAACTCTAGAATTCGGGTTTCGATACCCGTGGTGGGCAGAGCACAGATAGCCCATTGTGTAGCTTTGTGATTAATTACAAACAAACAAACAAAATTAAAACTGGTCGCCTTTACCTGAAAAAAAAAAGATATTATTTTACCCCTCCGCGATTTCGAAAGAAATGTTTAAAAACTGGAGCTTTATTTTCCATCTTTCTATCTTTATAACCTAGAAAAACAGATTTCGAAAGAAATGTTTAAAAACTGGGGCTTTATTTTCCATCTTTCTATCTTTATAACCTAGAAAAACAGAAAATACTTTCTTCTAATTTCAGATATCAATTTTTTACAGAAAATAAACATCGACGTTGTCGCTGTGGTGAATGACACAACTGGAACGCTTATGTCGTGTGCTCACAAAAACAGAGAATGTCGTATCGGCGTCATTGTTGGTAAGTCCATCGCGATATTATGTTTGAGTAAACGTTTTGTATGAATATTAGACTTATGTAGGAAATATATTTATAAGTTTAATTAACAAGGACATCATTATTACCCTAAGTACACTTCTTGGACACACATTTAGTCTTAGCAGATTACTTTCTTTATACTCTTTTAGATAAAAAAATATTGTGTGATCGGAAAAGGATTTTCTTTGAACAGTTTTCGAATTAGGACGCGAATAAAGCTAGCTCCATATTCTTTAGCTGGGAACTATTTGATCCTCAACCTTTTCAGAACGTTTTCTTGATAAGATTTAAAATTTAAAAGTTTGGTACAACATATATATATATATATATAGAGGATTTTAAGATGTCGTATTAGTTTAAAACCTACTTGTTCATGTTACACTACAATGTACATGTTACATGTATAACATGTTGTGTTAGTTTAAAACCTACTTGTTCATGTTACACTACAATGTACATGTTACATGTATAACATGTTGTGTTAGTTTAAAACCTTATTGCTCATGTTATCCTACAGGTACTGGTACTAATGCATGTTACATGGAGAAAACAGAAAACGTTGAGACGTGGGAAGGAGATCAAAATGATTCAAAGCAAGTTATTATCAACACCGAATGGGGCGCTTTTGGTGATAATGGATGTTTGGATTTCTTGTGCACGCGCTATGACAGGGAAGTGGATGAAGCCTCTTTGAACACTGGCAAGCAAATGTAAGACATTATTATTGCTATTACACAAGAGGTAGTGGACTATTGATTATTGGTATTAAATGACAAAACTTTTCATGGTAGAGTACCGTACCAATAAATGTGCACAATATATTTTTGGAATGAAATTATAAAATATGTTTTATTGTAGTAACGCAAACGTAAGACTATTGTACACAAATCTTTAAACTATTTTTGGATTTAGTTTTTCCATTGTTTAATTTCCCTTATTTTCTTTTGTTTGCCAAGTTTTCTCACTCAGCAAGTCCGCTGAGGAAATAATTACCTTCAAATCACTACTAACCAAAATAATATTTTTATATATTGTTACTTGAACCTTTTTTTCTTCTGTTGACAGCTTCGAGAAGATGATATCTGGCATGTACATGGGTGAACTGGTTCGCCGCGTTTTGGTTCATTTGGTGCAAGAAGGACTGTTGTTCAGTGGAAAGTGTTCTGTAAAACTGAAAGAAGCCAATGCATTTAAAACCAAATACGTGTCAATGATTGAGAGGTAATAAATTCACTCTATATTAGAAATATTAAACTTTGAGTTATTTTTACATATAGTGCTTCATCTTGTTTTTTCCCAAATATAGTGAACAACTGTAAATAATTAAATTACCCTTTGTATTTTAATAAACTATTAAGTTTTATTTGAAGAGGTCACATGACAGGCATCAGTACAGTTTTAAGCTAATTTGAATTTCTTAATTAAATATTCCTGTAATTTGAAGAGGTCACATGACAGGCATCACTACAGGTTTAACCTGTTTTCCATTTCTTCATTAAACATTCAGTTCAATTAAAATAGTTGAACTTTCTATACTTATTGAAAAAAAAATGCAATGATGAGCTTTTTCGTTATTATTAAAACTACAATAAAAAAGATTTATAGAAAGACTTGATTGTTAAAGGTTGATGTTCAAAGTTTTAGTTAAATGTTTATAAACACACACTCTGTAATTATTTGGGAGCTACATTTATATTTTTAACGTTTTTCAGCGACGGGAAATATACCTACGACAATGCTCGCAGAGTGTTAGCTGAGCTGGATGTTTTCAACGCTACACCAGACGACCTGGAGAATGTAAAGCTCGTTTGTTCTCGGGTTTCCACTAGAGCAGCATTTCTTGTTTCTGCAGGTTGGATTTTTAATTTGTTGATAAAATTATTAAACTTTTTGATGCAGTAATATTGTACGATAATTTATATTCTCTTGCAAAATTATTTATAAAATGTTTTTTGCTGAAATGACTTTTTTAAAATTCACTAAAAATAATATTTATTGCAGTATAAGTCACACTGTAGGTTAATTTGGAAAATTATGAATAAAATTGTAAATTATTTTGTGGCCCCCCCAGTGGCACAGCGGTATGTCTGCGGACTTACAACGCTAGAATCCGGGTTTCGATACCCGTGGTGGGCAGAGCACAGTTAGCCCATTGTGTAGCTTTGTGCTTAATTACAAACAAACAATTATTTTGTATATGAGATGTTATTTTATGAAGCTTTATATGGGAGATCTATCGTTACAGAGCACGTAAATTATATTCTTGAGGAGTAATTTTGATGAAGAAATACAAATGATAATGTATCATAAAATATAAATATTATCTACATGAAATTATTTAAACTTGTCCTAACTTGTAAGTTTTATTTATCTCTAGCAGTATAGTTTTATATAAAGAATGTTTTGCTTGTTTTCAGCTATCTCGTGTATTTTGAATCGAATAAAACGCCCTCACACAACAGTAGGTGTAGATGGTTCTGTGTACAGATATCATCCTTACTTCCACGGTTTGATGGAGAGAAAAATCTCTGAGCTCACAGCACCTGACTACAAGGTTGGTTTTTCCTATTTTGTAACTTAACGAAAATACTTTGGAATATTTTATTATAACACTAATAATACAAAATTTCACATTCTATAAAATAATATGAAACCAGAAAATCAGGTGTAACAATAATAAAAACTACCGCATTTTATATGGTACTTCTTTTTCATTAAGATTTCAATAATGAGTCAATGAATCCACATCATCAACACTTGATGTTATTGAGTACTATAAGCAAGTAGTAGTTTAAAGTCTAAGTTAGGATTTTGACTTCGAAATATATTTTAGATATATATATCTTGGAATGTTTAAAAAAGTTTGCATTGTTTAATTTGAAAATATATCAAATAAAATTTCTAAACTCGGACTTTTTTTTTTTTTCTAGTTCGATCTGATGTTATCTGAAGATGGAAGTGGCCGTGGCGCTGCCCTGGTGGCAGCTGTTGCTGTACAAAACAGCCAGTAGAGAAGAACAATTAATTTTAATGAGTGTACAGGCGAGCAAACAATGTAAATATTTAGCATTACAGATCTTCCATTGTCATGTCTACGTATGAACCAAAAGAAAGACATACGAATTCAACTGAAGAGCCAAATCGACCAATACAGTTTACATTTTTTTCGTTCATAAATCAGTCAGTTTGAAGTAGGTTCATCAAGCTTCTTATTGAAGCAACTGGAAGAATTTATTTTTTATTTATTAGAGAACTTAAGGGAATTTGCAATAAGAGTTCATCTGCACAGTGTGTAAATGAAGTAGCCTGTTTTTCCTGAAAAGTTGGTTGTTTTCTAAGAAAGCTTATTTATTTTTGTTAAACATTATTAATTTTAGTGTTTTATATATCAAGTATTTTACGTTTTTTCTTGTAATAGTCTCATATTTAAGAATCTACGTTTAATCCAGATTTTTAGGAGCATGCCTTTTCATTGAATGTGTTCAGTTTTGTTTTTTTTTTACTTCTGAAACTTTTGAATGTATTTACTTTTCAAACTTTGCGATCACTAGTGATGTTTGTGATCTTTTAATGTACATAGAAAGAGGTTTTATTTCTTGAAAATTAAATTATATTTTAAACAATCCTTCTCAAAAAGAAAGAGATTTATAGATTATTAAATATGTACTCATTTCTTTATAAGGTGGATAGTTTTTAAGAAATACAACCCGCATAAGAGCACCACGGAATAATTTTGTAGTAACTGAAACAACCATCACACTAGTGGATTGATGTGTGGTGCTTGAAACAACCATCATATGAGTGGATTGTTGTATGGGGATTTGAAACAACCATCACATGAGTGGATTGTTGTATGGGGATTTGAAACAACCATCACATGAGTGGATTGTTGTATGGGGGTTTGAAACAACCATCATATGAGTGGATTGTTGTATGGGGGTTTGAAACAACCATCATATGAGTGGATTGTTGTATGGGGGTTTGAAACAACCATCATATGAGTGGATTGTTGTATGGGGGTTTGAAACAACCATCACATGAAAGGATTGATGTGTGGTGTTTGAAACAACCATCACATGAAAGGATTGATGTGTGGTGTTTGAAACAACCATCACAAGATAGAAGGAAAAAAAGACCATAGTTCATGATCGACTCTTTTTTTTTTTAAGTTCAAGCAAAATGCTTCTATCATAAAAACACCATTTATCAATGGCGTTTACTTTACCATGTTCTCTTGGCTTTCAAATGGTATCTTAGTATCCAACATGAATAAATTAAAGCCAGTGTTTTAACTATAGTTTTCTGTATTTGAACGACCAAACAATCCCTAAAATGGTATTGTAATATAGTGTTGCTATGTACAGTTAAATAGAAGTTCTCCAGAAACTGTGATATCAGATACGACTGAGTGTGTATTTTACTGTCACATGTGTAATTATTCCTGGAGAATAAATTGTTTGTTTTTGTAAAAGAAACTGTATTTATTATAAATGCAAACTTTAAATTGAATATTTTTACAATTTAAGGTTTTTTTATAGCATATAAGCTAGTTATTAAGCTCAAGACATGAATCATTGACAACAGTATAACAAGAATCACTCATTGTTTACACTATTCAAATACAAGCTGGTTAAGATTAAGACACCAATCGCTGACAATAGTATAATAGAATTTACCCATGGTTGGACTTATAAAAACGGTTAAGCTCAATACATGTCTCATTGACAAAAGTATAAAATATATCACTTATTGTTGGTCTAATTGAAATACAAGTTGATTGCGCTCAAGCCATGAATCATTGATAACAATATACCAGAAATCATTCATTGTTGGTTTTATTGACAAACAAGCTGGTTAAGCTCAAGATTCGAACCGCTGATAGTAATATACCAGAAATCATTCATTGTGGGCCTTATTGACAAACAAGCTGGTTAAGCTCAATATTCGAACCGCTGACAATAATATACCAGAAATCATTCATTGTGGGCCTTATTGACAAACAAGCTGGTTAAGCTCAAGATTCGAACCGCTGATAGCAATATACCAGAAATCATTCATTGTGGGCCTTATTGAAGAAAAAGCTGGTTAATCTCAAGACATGACTCACTGATGGTAATATAAAATAAATCCCTTATTGCTGGTCTGATTGAACTACGAGTTGGTTAAGCTCAAGATTCAAACCGCTGACAGTAATATACCAGAAATCACTCATCGTGGGCCTTATTGACGAAAAAGCTGGTTAATCTCAAGACATGACTCACTGATGGTAATATAAAATAAATCCCTTATTGCTGGTCTAATTGAACTACAAGTTGGTTAAGCTCAAGATTCAAACCGCTGACAATAATATACCAGAAATCACTCATCGTGGGCCTTATTGACGAAAAAGCTGGTTAATCTCAAGACATGACTCACTGATGGTAATATAAAATAAATCCCTTATTGCTGGTCTGATTGAACTACAAGTTGGTTAAGCTCAAGATTCAAACCGCTAACGGTAATATACCAGAAATCACTCATTGTGGGCCTTTTTCCAACATAGGTGGTTAAGCTGAAGACGTGAATCGCTGACGAAATTGTATCTATCACTCATCGTGGGCTTATTATAAGTACACATATAAAAACACTTAATAGTTTAAGTATCAGCATAATACACCCAACATGCAAGTATTAATATTTGTAAGAAGGCTGGACACAGCTGTTATATAACTTTGAATAGGATTCCGTATATTTTAGATTTGATTTGGGATGTGCATCAAATATGAACTTTTTTATGTCTTTTAGTTTAACATCGAATCTCCACACATCCCAGAATGCCTTATAGGGTGGGATCATTCGATAAAGGAACCTAGATATGCATTCACTGTTGACTGTATTTGCTTGATTAATAACGCCTTTTAAAATGTTCTTTTATACGTGTTGTATTCTCTGTTTTGCAACTTGCACATTGCGGTTGAGGTTTTTCCATGTTTATATACAGATGAGTAATCTTTAAAATGTTCAGGAAAACGTGCCTATCTCTCCTACATACGTTTCCTGAAAATTATAGGATTGAATTCGGCACTTTGATCCTTTAAATCATTCTCCGTCGTCGTATGATTATCTAGTAAATATTTGATTGTTATCCTGGTTTTTGGACGAATTTTATTTTTGTGTTGTGTTATTCATAGTCGAATGAGGTAATTACTTTTTCTCCTTTATAATTAAATCTAAATCACAAAAATAACAGAAAATACTGAATCAGCCTATTAAGTAATACTTCAAAAATATTCAATATTTAATACAAGAGAAGCAAATATTTATCTGTTAATCCTACGTAAAAAGATTTCTTCAGAGGCGTAGGAGGCAAATTAGAAGTGGAGAAATCCAAGATTTATTTGTCCACCGAAGAGAGGGAATGGCGCACTCATTATGGCCTGGATCCAGGACCCGAAGGCCTTGAAACTCTTGAGTTATGGATTAAATTCTATGTATTCTCCTGCTTTACCTGTTAGTAATTTTCCTAATGTAGATGCATTTTTACTGCGACAGATTGGAAAGTGCCCCCCCCCCGCTTTGTTAAATCTACCCTATAATTGTTGTAAACCAATGTTTCTTGACACACTTTTTCAATAGTGATGACCAGTGTATAACTTTAATGTAAAAAAAATCTGATTTAATATATACTTACCAAATAAACTATCTTCACACACATTCTGACGACCAAGTTTTAAGTTGCGACCTATGGGTTTAAAAGTGGTGGGCAGAGCACAGATAGCCCATTGTGTAGGTTTGTCTTTAACTTCAAACAAACAGACACATCCTTTCATTGGCTAAGGAAGAGACATTGGAATGCCTAAGACTGTTAATGCTAAGAAAGAGTGATAGGTTACGTGGTGACATCAACAAGACAAAGAAACTGACAATTTTGTGCGAGCAAGAAACCTAGGTTTTAGAGAGTTTCCTACTTGTTTCTCATTGTGACTGGTTCTGCAGGGATGAAAAACTGAAGATCTAGTCACTGATCCAGTAGAGTTGATCATTCATTTATTTAAGCAGTTACATATACACTTGTTTATTTGTTGTATTTTTTAATAAAAACTGTTTTCATTATCCTTAAAACATGTCCGATCTGTTTATTTTCATGCAACTTTAAAGCTAAATTGAGTTTGCAGATTTAGATAACTCATAAATTGTTATTAGCGGTTCTATTCTATACTTGTAGAGAAATCAGTTCATCTGAGGATACCACACATAAAAGGTAACACAGTACATCATAGTCTGACAACATCCTAGATATTTTGTGGTAGGGGACTACAGTGCCAGACAACCCACTTTGGATGCGTGGAAAACCTAATGGCAAAAGTTTATATTTTATTCTCCACAATATAGCCACCAACCTTAAACTGCTAAACTCAAGTAAACCAACAAGAACTGCTGGGTGCCAAGGTGACAGACTCCTGTATAAACATGAGACATGAAATGGAATGAACTGTGCAGCAAGACACTTCCACAAACTTATAGTTGGCAAAGGAACCATGAACGTGGCAATGTTAGTCATGATGGTGATACTCTAATTTGTATATATGAAGGCCAAAGGAAGACCTTTGTATGCAGACGCATTAACGAATATGAACATGGTGACATGCATGAGGCTCAAGCTACAACAGTTCCTTATCTGAACTACACCCAGATGCGTATATGGAAGTCATCTTTAGCTTGGGCAAGATACATAAAGTCATAAATACATTTAAATATTGAGCTCCATGATCAATGATTGTAATAATCGCCAACTTTATAAACCTTACAGAAGCCAACCTGCTGAAGTTCGTGTCAGAGTATCAATGCAGTTGAGTAATTAGCAGCATCCCTAAGATATGAACTGATGTCAAATCCTTACCCAAACTCATGAAGGATCACTCTAGTCTTAAAAACCATTGAATCACCATCCTACAAAACATAATTGGCAATATTTCAAAGAAGGCTGTAGCTAGAAGGCTTGCCTATTGGAATGAGCCACTGACATCATCATCATTATGTGTTTATTTTATTGGAAAATAATGTAGCATTATAACTCTGAATTCACAGCTAATGCAAGAATGGATTTAAAGCTAGTCAGAACAAGTTGACAGCGGCTTTAAATCTGGAAGATGCCTATAACAGATCCCTGTTTTTCCTTCTTACTAGGATGTTAAAATAGGCATCAATGTAATAAGTGCAATATGAGTCATAACTGCACTAACTACTAGAAGATGCATCATGAAGCATGGAAGCTTGCAACCAGACTGGATCACCATCAATAATGTTCTTCCTCAAAGATCACCACTCTCAACACTTTTCTTCAACATCTATACCACTGAACAAGCCCTTATTGACAGTCCAACCAAATGTTTTTGCCAAACTTTGCTGATTACATTCTGGTGTACAGCAGAAGTCTTGGAAAAGCTGAAATCGAAAGCAAGATGGTGAAAAAGTGGTGCAATTACGTAGAAGTTGCATCAGTTTAGTCAAGACCATATCCATATTCTGCACACTCAACAACAAACATGGTTTGAGAAAACACTATCACCATCAGTTGCAGGCAGTGTGATTCCTGTGGAAGAAACACTGATATACCTGTAAATAACCTTTGACAATCACCTTAATTTCACTAGCCACATTAACACCCTTACAACCAGAACTACTAAAGGCATTGATTCACTGAAAATTGCTGGAAAAGATAAAGTTGAAGAACGTCACCTACTTATGCTCTATCAAAGCTTCATCTGCTCCCTTTTAGATTATGCACTATTTTTGATCAGTACGAAAGCTATGCAAATAGATAAGACTGAAAAGGTACAAAACACATACTTAAGAATGGTCATGGGCTGTACTTAAGCCAACAGTGTTTACAAAAATCTCCACTAGGGCCTTGTAGTGTAAAGATAGTGCATTCCATCATAAAACCACTGTTCTTTTCAATTGGGTAACTACAGCTCTGCAATGATTTTATAGACATCATCCAAATAGAGGATTTCCTAAAAGGTGCCCCAGGAAACAGTCATGGGTGGACAGGTCCCATACAGCCACCATTGAAATAACTGTTTACCAATAAATCACAGATGCCCTATCTGGTACCACTAGGATCTGTGAAAATTTGCCTACACAAATAATATAGGGTGTGGGAAGAGAGTGAAGTATAAAAATTTTGTTACTACCTATTTCTTTTCTTGATTACTGAAAGAAATGAACCACAAATAGAAAGTGCCACCGAATAATATTTGCAACTGATTCACAGGGAGTAAAACAGCATAAAAGTCAGAATGATTAGCCAACTGATGGATGGAAGTAAGCAAAGCAGCTGCAAGGTAAAACTATAGCTTGGATGTATGTGCTGGGTGAAGCTAAACAAGGAAGCTGATGATCTCACAAAAAAAATCTGGCACAACTCTACTGGCAAACGAAAATAGCAACTATGAAAGGTTTTCATCGACATTCAGAGGGAAT